TCATGAACACTTTGCAAAGAGATAAGCCTTATTACACTTATTCTATGGATCAGAAAATTGAAGTTCTAGATGCAATGCATGAAAAAAAATACTACTAGTAATTAAATTAGTGTTTCAAAGCATCATATCTAGCTTTCCGATCTGGCCATCCCTCCACACTGACCTACTTTTTACAATGAACTAGTATCATGACCCCAGGTGTTTTGAAAGCACTTAAATTCCCCTGCAGATGGAGAGAGATGAGCATTCCTTCCATGCCCTAAACTACAGGTGAACCTTGTGTCTCCTTTCTAAGAGAAAGGGATCCAACACCTCATACTGTTGAATAAGACAGGCTTGTGCTTAAAACTTCTTTATCCAGACACCCCATCATTCCTCTCCCATTTTTCCCATATTCTGAATGCCAGAGGAAGTGTCTAACACTAACAGAGCTAGAATATAGTTAACATCTAAATATCTAGGTTGCCCTCCCACATTTTCATTTATTAGCTGTTTCAATAAGAAATTGTTGTATCTTGTTCTATGAAATAAAAGTATAGGGATTCTGTTACTTTTATTTCGTAGAAATAGAAAGATTCAACAATAAAAGTAACAGTATCTGTATACTTTTATTAAGAAAGTAGTGTTTGTAAAAAGATCCCAAAAAATCACTAAGTGTACAACAAAAGGAAAAACCACATACAGGTTAATTTCAATTGTTTTTGTCATTGTGTTAATCACATTCTTCTCCTTCATCATTCCAATGTAAGTATCAAAAAAACAAACCATATGTCCCCTTTATCAATTCCTGATCAGCCTTAGAACACCACCATCTCTTTCCAGTTCCTTGGTCTCCAACACCAGACTCCTAAGATTGAGGAATAGCAGTTATGAAACTTTGTAACAACTTTAAAATAACTTCACAGCATCTGCAAAGAGACTCTACTGTTTCTATACTTTTTTGCCCTGCTTTCACTGTACAAAAATGACCACATCAACAAGCCATGTTCGTGAAGGCTGTCACAGTATTTTCTGTACATGTTTATTCTAAAAGCAACATAACTTCAGATGCTCATGTAATTCATAGCTATCTTAAGAGGGGCTGTATCACCATGAGCATTTACTCTTATTATAATTCTACTTCAAACATCCATTTGCCATGAAAGAGTCCTAGCCTTCTCTATTTTCAAATGTTATGAAATAATAACTGCTATATCTCTGTTTACTACATTCTCTAAGGCATTGATATGCAGTTTATGCTTTCCAAAAAGAAAGAAAAGCAAAAGAATGTGGTGCTCAAATACAAATTTTAAATATCGCATGTTTAAGAATCATCTCAGGAAGACATCATATTCAATTTAAAATTCAGATTACCCTTGCACTAAAGGAATCTTTTAATATAACTTTCATGTGTGGAGTTTTTGCAAATAATTTCAAATCACATTGAAAAACTACTGTGGATTTTACTAGGTTTAATAATGTCAACAGTGGATGATGTGATGAATCCCCCTGTGCCCTTTCAGAAATGGAAAGAGTAATCTCTCCTCTATTGGGAGCCCTGCCAGGTAACAGCACTTGAATGGGTCTCTAGAAATTCCCCTCCTGTTGTTCTTGGCTGAAGACAGAGGCCAGCCCCAGGTTATACCCACTTTCCAGGGACAGCCCAATCAACAGGGAGTTTACCAGAGAGTTAAAGCCTAGCCTCCCCTAGACTTGGAGCAAAGACAAAGGCTCAGTGTTTTTAGCTCTGCCTGGGCTCAGCTGAGCCCCTCACAGGACTTTTCTGGAAGGAAAAGTTCCCCTCGCCCTAATCTGGCTTCCTTTCATTTTGTCCATTGCCTGCCCATGTACCTGCTGACCCTAAGGCCACTCCTACTTAACTACCTGTCTCCCCTTCTCATTTGAATTTTCTTCCCCAGGAATATAATGTAAAATTTAAAATAAAATAAATAAAATAAACTGGTATGGGTACCATTTTTATCTCTTACAGACACACCTCAAGCACTGTAAGGATGAGATACTATCAGGTCTGAAGATGGCAACGGAGAAAATGGGAGAAATAAAGATTGGCTCAATGCTAGCAATTGTTGAGCCTGAGCAGTGAGCACACAGACATTCAAGGTAATATGATTCGTGTGTATTTGAAATTCTACATCATAAAATGCTTGGAAAATACGATTTTCCAAAGTTCCCAGAACATCGTCTTTTCAACTAGATTACTATCATCTTGGGACATATTCTGTGCTCCTTTGTTCCCAACTAGGGCTTAAATGAGCCAGAGTAAATTCCCCCAGTCACTTCCCAGTAGCACAGACTCATTCCACTCACTCTGGGTCTGATTTTTCAGATGGGCCTCATTAATGCTAATGAAAATGTCACAGATGCTAATGAACAGCCGCCCTCTAACTCCACAGACAACCAGCTGAGGTACTTTCAGAGGCTTTGAAATCAATTGTCACCTGATGGCAGACCTTCTCTCAGAGGTAACCTAAATGTGCAGAACTCGCTGGGCTGTGAAAATTCCCCAAGACCTGGGAAAGGCAGTAGAATGATGGCAGAGCCTCAGGAAAGCAGACCAAGATAGCAGAGCCAATTAACCATGGGAGCTGCCACTTGGACAGTTGGAAACCCAGAGCAGTAATTACTTCTCATCTGGAACATTAGGCTTCCTTGAAGCCCTAGGAAATGACCTGTGGGCAGCTTGAGGGGACCTTGTAAATAGGAATAGAAATAATTCTTTTCCTTGCAGCCCTGAGCAGGCCAGAATGGATCTGTTAGCCACTTACAAATGGAAGAATAATACTGTTTGTAATGGGAAGTAACCAGGTTTGTTATCGCCTCCACCACCTTACTTAACGCTCTCTGAGTAGCCTGAAGTATTCTACTCCTGCTCATCAAGCCATCTGCTCAACCTTCCTTTTCTCCTTCCTCCACTTCCTCCCAAAGGAGTCCTTTAAGCTCCAAGGCATCAGGAGACCTGCTCTGCATCTCTAACTGAATCTATTTTAAGGTTTCCTTTGTGAACCTAATGGCTAACTCCCACTCCCAGCACTGATTGCAAATCCTCTGAAGACTCCTCGGAGAGCCTGTTTTCTCTCCCCAGGGTTTCTGGTAGACTAGGCAGACACTCTCCACCCTGGAAACTGTCTGGCACAACAAGAGCATCTGATGGATTTTTGCCTTCCTCCTTCAGGGTTAGGGAGAAAGCGGTTTCTCTAACACCTTTTTGCCTTTTTTTTCACAGAGAAGCCCTCTCACTCAAGAGTTCCTTGATGCAAAGAACTGTAAAACTCCCTTGTTCAAACTGCTTTCCTAAACAAACTCTGTGGTTTTTCTTCCTCCCTCATCTCCAGAAACCACCATCTCACCCTCCCTCCGTCCGTACTGGTTTCATTGTGGGCCTCCAGTATGCCAAGCTTCTCACCTTCCTTTTCAGAGAATGTGCTCCTACTCTCTTCCCTCTCTGTGCCCTTCCTGGCCATAGGTCCCATGGTTGGCTCCCTTTTTGTCATTCTTGTCCCAGCCTGAATGTCACCTTCCAGGAGAGACCTTCACTGTCACCTCGGTGCTGGTACTTTACAACGTATGTCCTGTCTCCTTTCTTACTCCAACCATCATGTCGGCTTCACAAGATCACAGGCCTTTTTCTTGCTGCTCACTCCTTTCCCGCAGTGCTTGGAACTGTGTCTCAAATATGGTGGACACTAGATTGATTTTGTGAAATCAATGAATTATTTTCATTGAATCCTTATAATAGCCCTAAAGGTATGCATCACAATTCCCCTTCAATAAAATAATAAAGTGAGGGTTAGAAAGTCTCCAGGTGTAGTAAGGACAGGCCCCAAAATATCAAATGATGGTCACCTCTGCCCTTCTGGGTGTCAGGTCTGTGAGGTATTGGGTGAGATTTGAGTATGGGGTTGATGTGCGTCGGCAGTTCTGTGATTGTAATTCTGTGTCATCCCCGAAACATGTCCCTCAGCCTGACATCTTAGAGAACATTTAATTTTGTGCTAGTTGTGCTAAAGAACAAAGTGATCCACAAAGGGAGAGTGACTGGTCAAAGGCAAAGATGCAATGGCCAAGGTGAACTCAGCCTGAGCTCCCCTGATGCCTCACTCATGCCACAGCCACCCTAGCTGGCTGTGCTGGCCATAATTTGCCCAGAGAGGCTGGAAGATCAGGGAGCAGGAGCTGGAGTCCAGCGACTCTCCAAGCAAAGGGTTCACATTTCCCTGCTCAGGACTGGGCAGGGTTGCCATTTTCATTTTGCCTGTTATTAAACTGCCTGCACCTCTCCCTTGTGGTAGCTACGGCAGATATCTACAAATACAGGCGTGTGACGCCCAACAGAACAGCCAGTGACAGACCACGAGTGCAAAAGTGGTCTTTTAAAATCACATCACCTAGTGACATTGTGGCCATCCTAGTTGGTGTAAGAATGCTCTGTGATGTTCTCAAAAACAACGACCTAATGTGTTGCTCAGAATGTGTCCTTTGGAAGCCACCATGCATGACTGCAAACTGTCTCTATCTTACTGGAGTGCACCAGGGTATTCAGAAGCGCACCTGAAGCCACTGAAGAGTTTCATCTCTCAGAGATGAGCTGTTAGCCCTAGGTAGTTGCTGACTCATCACTAATTAATAGATAACTCTGAAAGTGAAACGCGGTAAACAAATGCCACTCTGGGAGCTCACAAAGATGAAATACTATTACATAGGTTGCTGTAGTTCTTCCTCGTCTATGTCCAATGTTTTTCCTCTTTCCCTCAAAGCACTTATATCCAAAAAGAAACTCTCCTAAGGGAATTCTCAATATCCAATGAATAAGAAACTACCACTAATGAATGTAGGTCAGGAATCCTCTAACTCTGTAGATGTTAGAAACAAGTTCCAAAGGAAATGTCAACATGTTTGCAATGTTTACCCATAGGTGGGGGTCTGGGGTGCATCACCCCTTTACCATTTCTATAATGATTTCCTGGTAAGAATTGTCTATTACTTTTACAGAGAAGGAAACAAAGACTGTATTTTTGAAAAGAAAGTAAAACAGAAAGGTAAAACTGTAGGAAACAGTTCTTGGCCAAGTTACAGAGTTACACACAGAGCTGGCACCAGCAAGCTGAGCAGGAAAAGATGCTACGATTTAAAGCTTTTGCCATTCAAAGCAGAATAAGCCTGTAGGTCCTTCTCTCATGACAGCAGGAAGACAGCAGGACCTAGAGCTGAGAGGGAAAAGATACATAAACCCAAAAGAGGGAATTCTTTTTATAAGCACCTTTGATTTGGATTGCAGCCACGTTGCTGTGTTTCAGAAGGGTCTCTGAGCTCTTTGCCTCCTTGCCTTCCAGCAGATGGCCCGAGCCACCAGGCCTCCTCCTCCCACTCCCCCTCTATCTCTTCAAGTGGCAGAGGTAGGAACCCAGGAAGGATTCAGAGTAAACTGTGAAGAAAACAGCGTGTCAAAACAAAGCAATAAAGCCTTAAAAAAAATAATAAACTCAGGGATTGGGAGAAAATGTGTTTTTCTCATCTAAAAAACAAACAAACAACAACAAACAAACAAACCCCCTCCCAAAACAGGAAAAGCATTATCTGAAGAAACATAAAGCAGTCCTTTTGCCTTACCATTTATAAACTTGCCCTGCTCCTCCTCCATACAGCCACTGCTCTCTTAAAGTCTGAAAGCAAAGTCCTTTCCACTGAACAATGCTTAACACAAGTTCGAAGCTCTCCTAGGTCTTCAACGTAGCTGGGGTGAGGGGAGGATGTGGCCAGCATGGATTCTTCCTGCCCCCCACTGCAGTCTGGGTCCTTCCTGAAATTTCTGCAGCACAGCAAAAATGTAGGTGTGTTCGAGAAGGCAGGCTTGAGGTTGTTCTGCAGCAGCAAATAAAGAGCAGGAAATGCAATGAAGCTTCCATCGTGAGGACCTCTTCATAGACCTGGGCTAAGCTTTGTGCAGATAAGGGCTCTGCGGAGATGGAAAGAAAAACAAAAGCTCACAAGCCCAAAGCTGTAAGTGAGATTTTGGGAGAGAAGGAATGGAAATATGTAGATTTTTCTTGGATGCATCGAGCTTTCTGATCAGTGCTAGTCCTATGATGTGCGGGTCACATCACTGGAGTTGAAAATCTTGGTCCAGGGACTGATTCTAAGTGAACTTTACAGAGAACCCTACAGAAATGAAAGACAGCCAGGTCTAGAGAGAAAATGAGAGTTTGCACAACTCATTTATTTCCTTCAACTGCCATTATGTATGGGCTTGACTCGTTACACCTGACACTGGGAATAATGTGGGAATCAAAACCGGAAATGTGTCCATACTCCCCAACCCTTTACCCACAAATCAATAAGACAAAAGTTTGTTCATAATATACAAATCATTACAAAAAAATCAAAATTAAAACTACAGTAAGCAATAGAAAATATTAAGGCTTTCAAGGTTAACACATGACAGTCATCTTTCCACCCAAGCTGTCATTTGTTGAGGTGCAAAGGACTTATGCAGATGAAGATATGAAAACTGGCCTGGGAAATGGGGTTAGCTGTGCAGCAACAATGGGGTGCCTTGCTACAGCTTCCTGAGAGAACTCTGAGCAGCAAAAGATAGGTACTTACACAGTGTTCCTGACCTGCATGGATATAGAAAACAAAGATTCCCCAAATGATCTGCTCCAACAATTTTCAAACAACAAGATGGTTTACTCGGTTTCCTGGGGGCCAAGAGAAGAACAAGGGTAGAGGTCAGGACTGTTGAAGGAAAACATAATTTTTCCCCTTGAAGACAGAGGTGGGAACAAGTACCTCCTCCACTTCCCTGAGCTTGATTGCTTAGCCCACTGGGCTTGGCCAGCATCACCCTGTGTTTTTTGTATACCCCACTCCTCCCAGGAGCTGTAGGGTGCTTTAGGTGTTGCTTGCCCCACATTCCATAAATAGATGTATAGCACTGACTAATACAATTCACAGATCGTGCTATCTTTACTTCCTATTTGATTCCCCATTCACAAATTTTATTCATCTATTCCCAAAATCCATCCCCCAGTGCATAAAAACCACTATTTGGGTGGGACAGTATAAAACCGTGGCCATGGTTTATACAGTTTACACAGCCAGAGCCAGTTCCTACTGTGCGTTGGGAAATTACTCTAAGAGCTTGTGGGTACAACTCATTATTCAAATCCATGAATAATGATTCTTCCCGCTTCTCACTCCAGTTCTCAGTGGCAGTCTCTGCTGGGCCCCCCTGAAACGAGATGCCCTCAGTCTCCCACACCAGACTCTCCGAGGCATTCACAGAACCGAGTTACAGCCTGAACCCTTGACATATAGACTTGGCAGTGAAACAATGCAAGTACTAAAAATAACTCTTCTGTCCCTGGTCCCTTAGAGGCATGAGTTTGGAAAAGCTCTCTTTTTCTTACCGCCTATTTTTTAAAGAGCAGTATCTGTGATTGAACCCTCACATGTAATAGTCTAAACCAGGTGTTACTGAACTGAGCTCTGTGAGACCACGATGTTGAGGAGGAGTGTGAACTACCCCAGTATGATTTGCTACACACCATGGAAGTGTGAATCCCACAGTGTGAATTAATGAACAGCATGGTAACATGAGCTACATGCAGTGTTAGCAACTACACTGCTCAGGAGTGTGAAGCATACAGTGTAAGCTAACAATGTAACTGTATGAACCTCATGCAGTATGACTAATATACAAGGTAACAGTGTAACTGATGAAAGTGTGAACTTATATATAGTTATTGTGTATGCAACTACCCTGTGACATAGTGAACAATTTCATCGGGCAGTGAATACCCAGTGGAATAGTGCGTTGTGAAATAATAGGAAGTACCACATGGATAGTAATAGGAAGTACTCCCCAGCACACCATGCAAGGTCTTACTATGCAAGTCATATGATTTTTAAAAACTTTTTCTATAAATATAAAATTGCTGCAAAATACAAGTTTATGTTGAGGAAGGCCTTCACTAAGGTGTAGTATCTTCATAGTTTTCAAATATCTTTGTTTTCTATCAGCCTATTATGATAATACCAATAGTTTAATAATCTCAAATGGTTACTGCATTGTAACTTCAAATTTGATTTTGAGCTTCCTGTTGAAAAATGTGAGATAAATGATTATAGAATTCTTAGTATTACAGAAGAAAATTTACGAGTTCCTTAGCACAAAGCACAAGCTTTTCCCGAAAATCGTTTAGCATAAGACTTTATAAATGGGATTCTAAGTGTTCTCAGAAGTTTTGTAACAAATGCAATGATAGAGTTCTAAAGATTGTCAAAGTGTTCTTCCCTAGAACCTGAAAGGAAAGCCACATAAAAATACCAGGAAGATGATTCTGCAAAAGGCTAAATGGAAAAATATTAGAGATACAATTTTCTGGTGGTCCAGATGGATGCAATGAGAGAATACAGATTCCATGGGAAGGCAAACAGACTACAGGTTCTCATCATTCCTCAAGTATGTCTCCTCCCAGGAGAACTTCAGCTCAGAAATGGGAAGCAGCGCTCAAAGTTGACTCTATTCTGGAAGAGAATACAAGACTCTGGGTAGCTGACTAGAAGCATCTTCGGGATAGTACATTGCTATTAAAGAGTCATCTTAAAGAGTTCTATACAGGATAATTTCTGAATAAGTAAGTTCTAAGAAAGCATAATCTCACATTAATTAATGAATTAATTACTTAATTGATGAGATAATGGTCAGTTACTCAGTATCTAGCAATGAGGACAGTAGCCACTTTGCAGGGAATTTGTGAGCATCCAGGAATCACAGGTCATAATGGCTCTCATTTACAGTTCTTGTACTATGCTTACCAGCAAATTTCAGGATACTTACAATTATCCTCATTTATAACCTAAATTACTGATATCTTAATTTTTCAGATAGAGGAACAGGCCCAGTTTAAAAAAAAAAAAAAACCCTGTTCAAGAACACAAGGATAGTATTTAGCAGAGCCAAATGTGAATTCAAATCCAAGCTCCAGCACCTGCTAGCAATGTAACTTTGAGTATGTTACTTAAAATTCTGTGGTTCCTATTTTCTATATCAACAAAATGGCATAATAATAATAAAATCTCTTTCACAGAGTTGTTATGAGGATTAATGACAAATGTAAGTGATAATAGATGTTATTCAGTTCAATGTCCAGCATACAGTAAACCCTCAATTGCAAGGTCTCTTACATTCAAGGATAATGTAATCCTTAAAGGTAACATTTATAACTCACCACTAATATCTACTTAAATATTCTACATAAATATAAAATTTTCATTATTCCTGTCATATATATATTTAATCTGTTTTAACATGATGGTTTTTCTCAATTGAATCACTTTTTATACTAATTCAAACTCTGCTGAACCATTAAATATGAATACTCATGAATATCTAAATGGCTATGACCTTAGGAAAAATCACAAAGATTCTGAAAATAAGCTGAGAATTTGAGAAAAATTGAGCAGTAGGCTTACATTTAAAGAGACTTTTGAAGTAGGTATTTAAATGGATCTGAAGCTCAAACACTGCTGGACCTGCTTCTGTGTTTCCTTTTTAGGGACCATTCTACTCACACTTCTACTGAGGTAGAGAACACATGGTCTCTCGGAATCTATCATTTTAATTTTTATCACCATAAGACCAAAACTGTGCCATCTGAACAACACAGAACCAGTTAGCTTTAACACAAAACAGTTTTTGGTACACCCTTACAAAATCCGAATTGTTATTATATACAGTTTTGGGTTTTGTGATTTACCGCCTTTCTCTGGACACAAAACTACACTGATTTAAATACATCTTGTTATAAAAGAAAGACCAGAAATATTTAAGTTACTGCTTCAAAAATAATACTAATTTAGTGCAGAGATGGCAAATACATAGCACAAAGACCACCACTCTTCACTAGATTACTGTTGTAGTCATGATTTGCAAGGAAATAGATTTAATACAGGACACATAAATAAATAGGATTATCTTATAATACTCACCGCAAAGTCTGATGCAAAAGAGCACAGGATGTCTTTCCACACACTAGAGACCTAAAGGATCCCGCCCAAGGGCCAGGATCCCATGGCAATGTCCTGAACAAGTCCAGCCGAAGTCCCAGAGCCTGTGCAATGTGTCCTGTGAGTCTGTATCAAGGGGGATCTGCACCAAAAAGGCTCAAGGGCCAGTGGTGAAAGTTAGAGAGTCTGCACCCAACAACTGAAGGATCTGTGCCAGAAGGCTGCGGAATCTGTCTGTTCTGGAGCCCGGAAGTGATGCTCAAGATAAAGCTGAAGACCAGAGCTCTCCCCAAAGAGAACAGTAGCATTCCCAGGCACGGGGAGGACATGAGGTCCTCTTTTGATGAGAACATCCAAGATTATATCAAGGAAAAGCAGCCTCAAGAGAGCTTCTCAGCAGTGTGCAATCTGCAGCTGCAAGTCAGCAGCACGCAGCTGTCCCCTCTCACTCTTCTTTAATGCCCTTCAGACAACAATCCTCAAGTGGGTCCTCCACACCCAGAGCCACACTGATTCAGTTCAGCTGGGTGCTCTCGTTTAAACTGACCACTAATGAATTCACCACAACTTCAGCAGAAATGACGAATCAGCCGCATGCATTACTCCATTCACTTAGACCTGACACGGCCTCAGCCTTCTACTCCAACAGACTTCAGAAGGACAGCGGCTGTGCAGACAATTGAAGGGGTGGGGATGTTTTCCACTTTCTATCACCATCTTCTCTCACTCGCTCATTTGACCATTCCATTCTTCATGCTCTAGTTTCTTACTTGCTCTAGTGCTCTCTCTCTTTCCAGGTCCAGTCCATTAGGGCCTGGAGAACAATCCTCCCTGTCATTAGAGCACAGATATACCTTTTTTAGTCCAGGATTCTGGGCTCCCTCCAAGTTGCACGATGAGAGTGGGCCATGTAAAAAGAGGACATGAGCATGTCACTGTATTCATTGTTTCCTACAACGATTCCAAACCAGGTCAGGGCAGAAGGAAAATGACAGCTTCACCTGAAATATCTCTTCTAAACTTGAGATCAAACAAGTCTTTCATACTGCAAAATTCTTCCTTTTTCACTATTTGGGAGGAACCTCTTTCAAACTCCTCCCCAGACCTTCTCTGGGGTGGAAACCTGTAAGATCACAAGTGGTTCTCCTTCCAGTGCTCTTTCCTTCTCATAATGCTGTCATAATAAGCTGATACCCCTAAAGGCCAGGGCACCAGGATGATCAGCACAACAAGTCTTTGGCCAAGCCTTCTAGCTCACTTTAGTCCTGTTCTACTCGCTCTCACTCACACAGGTGAAAGTTTGCAAACTATTCCATATTTGGCCCATTCTTTGTATTTTGTTCCATGATACCTAAACGGAAAACGTCCCCCAAACTTTCTACATTTACAACTTCTAGGCTTCTCCTCTTGGTATAAAACATTAGCTCTACTCTGAGCAAGATTTCCCACTCATCACCAATAGCTGGTGCCAAGAAGAGGTTTCTGGCTCCTCATCTCTTTACTGCCAAGATCCCAAAGCTTTGGATCACAATCCCTTGCTGCTTACTTCCTGCCCTGTGCTTTCCTTCTTCTCCCCTGCCCACTGGTCTGGCTTCAGAGCGAGCCATCAGAGCAAGGCAAGTGGTTTGGCTTCTGTCAGTAGTTCAGCCATGTCTTTCTTTTGAGACGACACCATGCACTTGCCCAGATGACTATATAACTCATTAGTTTTTAGGAATTCTAGTGGGAATAAAATAGAAGAGGAAATGCTGGAAGAGTGATGCAAGGTTACATAGTTTTTAAGCAAGTGGCACCTGAAGTTTTTTTTTTTTTAATTTAAGGAGAAAAAGAAAAAAACAGAAAAAGGGTACAAGTTATACAGAATTTCAGAAAAAATAAACAGTAGGAAATCACTAGTTAACAGATTACATATTGTTATCTTAGAAATCGTTGTTCAAGTTACAAAATTAAAGCATAGAAAGTGGACTTTCAAACAGTGAGACTGGAAACAGTTTTGTTCAATGATCCAACAAAAACTCAGTAATATGGTTAGCTATCTTATACACTTAAATATATATGCAGTTATATTCTTTAGAGCACTTTCTTTTCCTTTCTTTTGTACAATGACATTTACACATTTTGGGTTTTATTACTCCCACAGTTCTTATTACTTTTTTTTTTTTTGAAGAGAGTAAAACCAAATGTGACATAACAGAACACTGTCAGTCAAATCAAAAGGATGGACATAATAGATAATGTAAAAACAAAATACTAGGTGATCAACAGTGGTTACCATACTGCCTCTTGCTATTTTAAAAAGAATTGCCTATATCATTAGTTATAATAAACTTGAACAAAACAGTAAAAAATAAAACCAAAACATTGGAGACATTACAGGACTTTAAAAGAAGATAATAGTCAACCAGAATGGGTGTCATAATGAATCGTATTGTCTTTACAGTTTTGCCTATAAAGAACTTGGTACTATGAATAGAGGAAAATCAGTCAAAGCAAGATGGTGAGAGCTATACAGGGTTTCAAATCAAGTTAATAGGAAATGAGAGTAGGTTACTATAATGTGTCCTGCTATTTTTCCCTTAATTAAAAAGATAAAAATAAAAAAGTAATTTTAAAAAAGGAGATTTAGATAAAAGAGGGCATAACAACAAAACAGTGCAAGTCAAAACATAACCATTTAAGCAAAGTAGTGTTTCACCACAAGATATCCTGACATAAAAGTAGTTACCAGAGTGTCTCTTTCCTTGAAATCTTTGAGTATAACTTCATATACCGTAGCACCAAACATGTCAAGACAATGTAAAAACATTCAAGAGAATGGAAGTATTACGGGGTATTTAGAACCAACTATCAGAAAATGAACAATGGTTTCTGTATAATTTCCTTGTCTATAAAAGTTTTTGCTTATATTATCACATATAATAAAATCCAATAAGATACAACCTATTAAGACTGTTGGAGACAGAAGAATAAAAGCTTGATGGGACTTCAAAGCAAGATGATACTAAATCAGCACTAGCTATTATGATGTCTTGTTTTCTCCAAAATAGCTGCTCCTACCATTCAATCTTCTCTGCCTCATTTCTGTTGAGCTCTTTTTCTGTCATTAGTTGTCAGTTTGTCTTCTTCATTTTGCTTTCTGCTCCATTCATTATGGCCAATCTGCCACTGTTTCTGAAGTCTTGGTATTTTCCTTTTTTAGAATATACTGCAGTATTCTCTGTAGAGTTGAATTGGTGGTTGCAAATTCCCCTAGTTCCTCTTTATCCTGGAAGCACCTTGTTTTTCCATCAATTTCCAGGGATAGTTGTGCAGGATATATCCATCTTGCCTGGAGGTTATTATCTTTCAAAGATTGAATTATTTCCCCCCACACTCTTCGTGATTTGATGGTTTGTGCTGAGAAGTCTGCTGCAATTCTGATGAGTGTTCCCTTGTAAGTGATCTGTTTCTTGTCTCTCAAAGCTTTTAGTATTCTGTTCTTATATTGGATTTCTGGAATTTTGATTATTATATGCCTGGGTGTAGCTCTGTTTGGATTGTAGGTAGCTGGCGTCCTGTATGCCTCATACATCTGAGTATCTTTACCTTTTGCTAAATTAGGGAAATTCTCCTGGATTGTTTCTGTGAATAGCTTTTGTAGTCCATTTGTTTGTGTCCCTACTTCTTTTGTGTTCTTAAGCTATAGATCTTCTTACCGTCTTCTAGCCTTTGTATTATTATTGTTTTCTTGTTATTTTTAAGAAGTTTTTCATTCCATGCTCCCAAATTACAAATCTGCCCTCCAATTCAGATAACCTATCCTTAGTTTCTTTCAAGCTGTTATGCCAGCTTTTGATAGAGTTTTTAGTCTCCTGGTATCTCTTTGAACCTGCTTCACGTATTCTATGTTTTCTCTATTTTCTCCATCAAACAATTCTCCCCTTTTTTTCTGTTCTTCTATTCCACCATCTGTTTTTTCTTGGGTGGTGCTTAGCATTTCTTTAACTATTCTACTTATATGTTGCTTTATTTTGTTAAATACTTCATTTTTAAACTCAAATATGAGGCTCTGGAGATATTGCTGTATGTCTATTGGTGCCGTGTCTGATATTGCATGTTTTCTGTCTTCCTTTGCGTGGTACCTGAAGTTTTAAGCCACATGAGCCCTACAAATCCCTGAAGGAAATGACTTTAATTCCCACTGATCTCTTCCTGGCTCACTTAGTTCCAGCCACATGGGTCTTAACTGCAGATTCTATAATATGTTACCTTGCCATGAATTTTGCACTTATAATTCCTTTAATCCATATTGCTTCTCTCCTGGGTTTCTGTATGGCTTGTTCTATAACTCCTTCATGTCTGTATTCAAGATTACTTTCTCAGCAAGCTGTTCTCTGATGAACTCTTTCTAGAAAATTCCAGTGTTGCCACTTACCATTGCTATTTTTTTCCTTATTTGATTGCTTAGCATTTATCACTATTTGTTGTAGTACATATTTCAGCAGTACTTACCAGTGTTGTTTATCTGTCTCCCTTTCTGGATTGCAAGCCCCAGGAGAAAAAAATGATTTGTCTCTATTTTTTTCAGTTCTATATCCTCATTGCCAAGAACAGAGCTTGACATATGTTAGGTATTCAGTGCATAACTGTTACATGAATGGATAAATGAGTTTGTAATAAAAAGATGAAGCAGGAAGCAAATGTCTATTAGAATGTATCTTAGTTTGGGCTTCCATAAAAAATACCATTGAATCATAGCTTAAAAATAGAAAATATTTCTCAGTTCTAGAAGCTAGAATGTCCAAGATCAAGGTGTCTGCATATTTGGTGCCTGGTGAAGATCCTTTAACCAATTTAAACAGTGGTATAAGTAACAGGGCACATAATAAAATAGGTAGTTTCTTTCTCCTTCATATAATGACCCAACCTTGGATGGTAGTTCTACTCTGGAAAGTCTTCTGAGCCTGGGTACCTTGTATTTTATACCTCTATCATGAAGGTAGAGTCTTTGTCTCTTATCAAAGACATTTAGTTTCCTCACCTGCAAAATAGACAAGTAAAAGGTAAAAGAAAAAGGAAATGTTATGTCTCTTTCTTTAGAAACTTATGCTCAGCATTTTTTCTTTACCTAATTGGCGAAAACTGAACTACACGGTCATACCTCATTATGAGTTAAAATTGAAAATGCATTTGCTATTTGCGAGGAATCACTCAGACAGCTTCAAAGCTCAGAGACATCTAAGGACACCTGAGGATGTGACCCACTTGTCTAGCACAAGTACATAGTGGGATATAGTTATATCACCATGACTTAGCACAGGTAAATATGCTTGTGCTGGTTACGGCCCTATACAAGAATATAAAT